TTAACAGTCAGTTTCATACGAATGGGCTCCATGGGATTCCTATCTGGGGTATAACACATTCAAACAAATCTACCAAACCCCAGGCAGAAAAGCACGAATGAAGCTTTTTTGCAGGTAAAAAAGATGTCTTTTAACAGGGGGCCATAGTCCAAAGGCAGCAGGCGAGCAACCAGGCTTCTCCAATGCAATGTGGCGAGATTGGTCTCGTCACACCCTCCCTAAGGTATTCAAAGAAGCACCCTTGATCTGCTACAGGAGAAATACGAATTTAAAGGATATGCTTGTCCACATGGACCCTGTCACTAGTTATCAACAGAAGAGCAAAGTCCAAAATCGGGGTTGTGTGAGATGTCTAGGATGTGTCACATGCAGACACATGACACCATCAAAAACCTTCTCACATCCATACACCAATTAGAAATATTCAATAAAATACACCATCACGTGTAAAACTACACATGTAGTATGCAAATTGACGTGTCCGTGCGGCCAAGTATATATCGGAAAAACAGAGACTCCCCTATGTGAGAGAATAAGGGGACATTGCTCCAGTATAAGGCTGGCATATAGGGACGTCTGATAAGTCAGTGGCCAAACATCCTTTGGCATTGCTGAAATTCGTGGGCATAGACCATTTCCCTGTCCAAGAAGAGCAGGTGACTGTGGGAAATTGTTGCTCAACAAAGAAGCCTTTTGGATTTATGAACTCGATACAGTGTCTCCAAAAGGACTTAATGAGACCATTCTTCTTGACCTTTCTGCGCGTTTGACACTGTTGATCATCAACAGCTTCTTCTCATCCTCTGTAATATCGGTTTACAAAATATTGCTCTCTCCTGGTTCTCCTCCTACCTCTCCCAGGGCTCTTTCAGTGTTTCTTTCTCTGGCTTTGCTTCTTCTCCCCAATTCCTCTCTGTTGCAGTCCCCCAAGGTTCAGTCCTTGGTCCCCTACTGTTCTCTATCTATACTGCCTTCCTTTGGTAAACTCATTAGCTCCTTTGGCTTCCAATATCAATTAAATGCAGATGGCACACAAATCTACCTGTCATGTCCTGATCTCCCCCTGTCCCTCTTGACTAGTGTCTCTGACTGCGTCTATGCTATTTCTAACTAGATGGCTGCCCACTTCCTTAAACTTAACTTGACCAAAACTGAAATTCTGGTCTTTCCTCCCTCAAGTGTTGCTACTCCTGTGTCTGTCTCCTTCCAAGTCAACGGTGCTACCATCAGCTCCACCATGCAGGCTCGCTGCCTAGGTGTTCTCTTTGACTCTGACCTCTCTTTCAAGCCTCATGTTCAGTCTATCGCCAAATCCTGTCACTTCCATCTCAAAAACATTGCGCGCATCTGACCCTACTTAATGCTAGATGCGACTAAGGTGCTGGTCCATTCCACTGTCAGTGGTCTTACCTGCTCCCAACTTGTGCCGTTACAGTCCATAATGAATGCGGCGGCGAGGCTCATCTTCCTGTCTTCCCGCACCTCCTATGCCTCACCCTTCTGTCAGTCCCTACATTGGCTTCCTGTAAGATATATGGCTCAATTTAAAATTCTTGTTCTTGCTTTCAAATCTCTACATAATGCTGCTTCCACCTATCTATCCTCCCTAATACACAAGTATGTCCCGTCTAGGCCTTTACGCTCTGCTGAAGACTTCAGCAGAGCGCAAGGGCCTAGACGAGACATACTTGTGTATTTCTGTCCATACTTCTCGAGGGCTGCACCGTTCCTGTGGAACTCACTTCCCTTCTCCGTTAGATGCTCACCGAGTCTCCACTGCTTCAAAAAAAATCATTAAAAACCCACTTCTTCATAAAAGCGTATCAATTAAACTGTTAATAGCTCCCGACTGATTCCTCTCTTGCAACTGTCATTAATCTAATACTATCGTTACCTTTTGTGTCACTTTACCCCACATCCTCTAGCATGTAAGCTCATTGAGCAGGGCCCTTAACCCCTCTGTTCCTGTGTGTCCAACTTGTCTGGTTACAACTACATGTTTGTTCGTCCACCCACTGTAAAACGCTGCGGAATTTGTTGGCGCTATATAAATAATTCAGCAAATGAATAATAATTTTTGTAGATTTGCTCCAGCTTGAGATTTTGTATATACTTGATAATATGGTCTTTTTATAAATGTGAATTTTAACAATGGGTAGGCAACCACATTTATTCACTTTAATATTCACTGGGAAGCTAAATATACTATAGATAGTAGATATATGCATGTTATTATTTTTTCTAACGTGGAGGGATCTTTTGGAGAGCAGCTTGTAAATAGTTTCAGTCACTATACCATTATGCACTTTATATTGATTATAGCACTTTATACATGGAGAACTTTGTAAAAAAAAAAAAAAAAAACAGCACTTTCTCTATAGTAGCACTTTAAAAACACTTTTTTTCATAATAGCACTTTGAAAATACCATTGCACTTTAAAATATAGGAGCACTTTATATAACAAGTGCTTTATTCTGTTATATACCTGTACAGTCACTTTACACTACAAAGTTCATTTCTATATTGGCATTTTAGCTTTAATTTGTGCATGATTTAAGTAGTTTGACAATGCAGCTTGGTGTAACTTGTATCTAACTGAAATTTATATATCGTGGTACTAGTTGTACACATAGTTTTTTATTTTTAGTAACTTCTATAGAGCTCTAAGTAGGTTTCCCTGTTCACAGTATATCCATTTAATCTATTTCTACCACCTTTTCTGTTATCCTAAATAATAATTCAGTAAAAATGAAAATCCAGCGCACTCCCTTATCTACTAAACAGCTACTTTGATGCTGACCAATTTTGCTAGGTTTATTAAAAACACCTAATCTAGGCAAAAAGTAATGGGGGTTTACTTACATGACCACAGCAACGCTCCGGATCTCGCGAGAGTGAACTTTAGCCCTGGTGGTCACAGTGGTGAGAGTGAATTTTAAAACACACAGGGACTCTTTCTGGCCACAATAGGGATGGAAAAGTTGTTTCAAGGGGACTAACACCTGGACTGTGGCATGCCGGAGGGGGATCCATGGCAAAACTCCCATGGAAAATTACACAGTTGATACAGAGTCTGGTTTAATCCATAAAGGGCAGAAATCACCTAACATTCCTAAATCACAATCAATATGGATTGACACCTGACATATGACATGTTGACACCTTGACATATGGATTGACACCTGTCCTCAGAGCCCCTGATGCACACGGACACAGAGCAGAATAGAGACTGGTCCCCTACATAGGGTCACTTGGCAAATATGGATTGACACCTGTCCTCAGAGACCATGATACACACTGACACAGAGCAGAATAGGGACTGTTCCCCCTACATCGGGTCACTTGGCAGATATGGATTGACACCTTGTTACAAACTGCTATTTGTAGCGGGCCCTTTAAATGGCAAATTGCCCTGTTTCCCTGGGTTGTGGAGAAGCCTCTTTGCCAGCCTCCTCCCGCATGACTATGGCCCCTGGGAGATTGTGAAAATGAATGCACTTTTATTTGGTGTGTATGGCCCTTTAAGACTGTCGGTGGGCATATTGGGGCTTATGGACTCTTTATGTGACTGGTGCTGGCCCTTTAAACACCTTTTTGGGACATCAGGAAGATTGGGACACTGCCCCTTTAAGGCCGTGTCCCCAGACTTGTTGGGGACACGGCCCCTTTAAGACGGTGTCCCCTGTGTCCCTAGACCTGGTGCAAACCCTTTGTGCCTGCCTTGCTATTTCCCACTTGGTTCAGTAAATGGGAAATTATTTCAGCTGCAGAGACTAAGTCCCATTCGGCGATGGGACTTAGTCTTTTTTTCAGCCGTTTTTTTCAGCCTTATTTCAGCTGCAGAGACTAAGTCCCATTCGATGGGACTTAGTCTTTTTTTCAGCCGTTTTTTTCAGCCTTATTTCAGCTGCAGAGACTAAGTCCCATTCGGCGATGGGACTTAGTCTTTTTTTCAGCCGTTTTTTTCAGCCTTATTTCAGCTGCAGAGACTAAGTCCCATTCGCGATGGGACTTAGTCGTTTTTTCAACCTGAAATAGACCGACCTCACAGCCCAAATCTATGGAACTGTTTTGGGCAGGAAAATGTGCTTGCCGTGGGTCATAAAGGGACCTCCAGCTAACTTTTTAACCCCTGGATGGATTTGGCTGATTTTTGGTTATGTTTATGTTTTAAGTGTGCTGATTCCAAATATGTAATTATGAAGATGGGATGTGTAGTTTTAAAGTTACAGGGTATGGCTAAAAACCGTATTTTTACTGCCTGTGTTTAATTATGTTAATCTCTTCCCAAACGTCATTTCGCTCAAAGTGGAGAGAATGTTAAAAAAAAATATTTTTGTTCTGAGTGTGAGAAATGCTTTTCAGCCGCTTCTAATCTTAAGCATCATTTGAGGAGCCATACAGGAGAGAAACTTTATTTGTGGTGTGTTTAGTATTGTTCTGATCAGTTTAATACCTTCCGCGTCTCCTATCAGTGGACGTGTATATGGCAGCCATTTTAGGAACCGTACACCTGGGACCCGAGCAAGGTCACCTCGTTCAACAGGCTACAACATTTGTCCCTGGAAAACTATCCTGGACATTCTGTACAATTTGTATGGATATGGCAGTGATTTCTGTAACAGGGAGATGGAAGAAGATGCTTGGTCGGTCTTCTTAATTCAAATTTGGGGCACTGCGCGGTCAAGCTAATGTGCCACCAGATAGGAGTGGTGTGTTTAGTATTGTTCTGATCAGTTTAATACCTTCCGCCTCTCCTATCAGTGGACG